GTTAATATGCAATGATGCATACATGTCCAAGAGTTTTAAAAACACAAATTAAAGGTATACATATGAAATATAATAGTATAGTAATATGCAATGATGCATACACGTCCAAGAGTTTTAAAAACACAAATTAAAGGCATGCCTTTGAAATATAATAGTAAATAATAGTATTTAGGAGGAGGGAATATAGAGGACACCATTGGGGTGTGTATGTCCAGTTCGTAAGCTCACTCTGTCCCCAGTTTCTCTGGAAACATCCTGCTCCCATCTGCTGGGGGTAGACTTTTAAAAGCCAGATTTTTATAGGCTAAGGAATAGAATTTTCAGCTACTAACCAAGGTTTTCTCCCCTTGACACTTGATTCCCCAAGAAATCAATTCACAACCTTTCATCTCTTTGATTACCTTGGAGAGGATCAGTACTGTTAGCAAGCATACATAGAAAAAGAGAAAAACTAATGCTTAGAATTTCTAACTGGAATATTAAATATATAGAATAGAGGAATGTTGTTTTCCTGTAATTCACTAGATATTTTGAGAGAGATTAAGAGTGTTTTGTTTGTTGGTTGGAGTTTGAAAATGTTGAGTCTAAAGGACTCAAAAATATATCTTTTTACCACAAAGTACAGTATTGGGAAAAATGAACCACAGTGTATGAGTCATGTCCTTGTCAGTACAGGCTGCCATACAAAATACCATAGTCTACATAGCTCAAGCAATAGACACTTGTTTCTCATTGTCCTGGGGACTTGAAAGTCCAAGATCAAGGTGCCAGCATGGTCTGGGGGCTGGTGAGAGCTTCCTAGCTTGCAGGTGACCCTCTTCTCACTGTGTCCTCACTTACCTTTTCCTCAGTGCACACTCGCAGAGACTGAGAGAGAGAACAATCTCTCTTCCTTTTTTTCCTCAGGCCACTAAACATATCAGGCAGCCCCCATGCTCATGACCTAATTTAAATCTAATTACCTCCCCATCTCCAAATACCATCTGTTGCACTGTCAAGGCTTCAACGTATGGATTTGAAGGGGAATGACACAAACATTCAGTGCATAACAAGTCAATTATCAGAAGCAGTGCAAAAAACTTCTGGAGAGACAAGGAGAAGGGCTTTAAAGTATGTGACTAGTAAGGGTTTTGGAGAAGCCATCATCACTCTGTCTCTGCCCGTGATGGGTTATAGATTGATTTAGAGAATCCCAGAGAAGCTGGTATCCATTCTTAGCTTTCTGGGGTCCAGATGGGGAAGGTGACAGGCTCCTCTGAGAAACCCTGGGTATCTGATGTGCAAAGTAGAAGTGGGGATGGTAGACATTGGTACATATGAGTCTAGGGCACCTGATAAACAGCCCAACCTCAAGAGGCTTTTACAACTTGAGGATTATGGGAGAGCATCCAATATTGTTCTGAACCATTGAGACAGATGGACAATTACCTGAATGAAAGGCAGTAGACCAGAGGGGACATAAAGAAAGGAAAAACCATTCCATTAACAAATGTTGCATGGACCTCATGAGCCAGATTTTTATGGTAAGAGCCCTCAGCAGTGGAGACAAGGAGGGGAAGGGGGATGTCCTAAAAACAGATGAGAAGTATGCATCAGCAGATGTCAGCAAAGACCAGAACTTGATCAAGAATCAGAGGCCCTCTTCTTCCAATTCCCTCCTTAGTATATAACCCCCATCCCCACCCTATGCCCTTTCCAACCTTAGAGAAAAGTCCTAAGGAAAAGGAAAACAGGGAGATCTGAAGTCACAAAATTTAAAATTATTTTGTTAAATCAGGTTAAACTTTTACACTGACATTCAAAACTTTACACAAATCTGCCTCAAGTCATCACCACCAGGAAGATGGTGTGTTTTTGCTTCTGCATATTGGCTGATAATATTTCTTCTGAAATCCCTGAAATTGTCCAACTATGCCTTACTTGTATCACTAACACCTAACCCACTGACTAATATATAGTGGGGGGTCAGTCAGTGCTTCTGAGTAAACTGATGAGCTGGATCCATAGATAAGTGAATGAGTTAGTAAGTTAATGTAGGGAACATGAATGACTAAAATGCCCTTCTAAGGATTCTCTCTCTCTTTCAACCTTATCTGACTTATAGGAACAGGTAAAGCCTCATTTTTTCTTCTAAGAAAGATTTTCGGACCATCTCAGCCATTTTTTTAAAACACTCATAACAATTGTTGCCATTTTTGCATATATTGTCTTGTGTTACTCCATAATAAAGTAGGCATATATTTGTATACCTATGGAGATAGAATCTCTAGGAGTGTGATATTCTTGAAGACAGACATAGTTTTGGTAAGAATTAAGTGAGGTGAATGAAGGCAAGCCCTGAACCAATAATTCCCCCAATTTTTCACAGTGCAAGCCAAGAGAAAAAAAAAAAAAAAGCATGGTGAGGCAGGAAATTCAACCAAAACTATGTTTTCTTTAGGACTCTAAGTATCAAAAAGATAACCAAGGTTAAGGCTACATGTGTATCCTTATTATCTTGTTTCATGAAGGCGAGATGCAGCAAACTTTTATAGGTTTTGGTTCCTGCTGCTTCGGTGGCGAATGTTTATAGAGAAGGGAAATGCATTACAGAAAGCAAAAGTGGGAAACACGGTGGTCTTCAGCTGGGTTATCAGTCTCAAACCAATTTTTTTGCGCCCTCTTGCACTGATTACTCTAATGCTTGCACACCATTAAGTAAGTTTTAGTGGGTGATTACCATGAAAATGCAAGCTATTATTATTGGTAATAACCTGGTATCATTATCTTATTTTTCAGCATTTATTAAAGTAAACCAAAAAAATAATCTTATCTGGAAAACTTTTTATACATCTTAAGTGTGTTAAGTTTGAGAAATTTATATGATTCAATGTACAAGTCTTACTTTTCTCAACTATTCTATCTTTTTTCTCTAAATTTGAAATGTCAGTCAGACAATTGACTTGGGGTACAATAGATAGCACATTGTACTCTATAAGGTTTTCAAAATAATGTATTTGTGGAGTCAGTGATCACAACAGATATCCATTTAGATACAAAAAATAAAAATATAAAAAGCATTTATAGCTTAGGAAATTTTTACATGTGGTATATTTACATTCAGATTTTTACATTTTACGCTTAATATTTTTTACCCCAGAAGAAATAATTAAATCTTTCATATTTTTCCCTAAATCATCCCCAATATATCTGCTCAACATATTTGTATTGGTTTTGTTAATGCTTATCAATGTAACACTCCCCTTCCTGGTTTTCAGTATTTCCATTTTCCATTGTATTCACATACTAAGACAAAGAAACAGTAGCAACTGTCTTTGGAACAATGAGTTTTAATTCCTTCTCCAGCACAAATTTTTATATTTAAAAAGAATCCGTTTTCTAGGATTGGCAAATAGACTTCAATTAAGCATTCTCTTATTAATTCAGGTTCATTTTGTAATTATTACCCGTGTTTCAGTCAGTGGCTAATAATTCCTTTTACTCAAGTAAACTTGAAATTTAACTTCAAATGGTCTGGAAAAAAAACATATCTGGCTTTAACAGGTTAATTTCTACAGTAAGAACTACTTTACTTCTGACTAATTTATACAGTAAAATTTGTAATGATGAATATAGTGTAAACAGACTCTAGCTATGTTCAGTGTGTGTCTGATACATTCACTTTCTCTATAAATGAAGATGTATATGTATATCATATATATAAGGAAGATATACATACATATATATATATATGTATGTATATATATAAAACAAATATATAAGGAAGACTTCCATAATTCTAAGGCATATTGTGTGTTGGTGTCTCCCTGGAATTATTTATCACCAAAGCTATTCTTTACAATATGCAAACATAACTTACTTTCTTCCTATTTTTTTTTAATAATTAGATTAGGATATTCACTAATATCCCTCCTTTCCAGGCCTGAAGCAAACACAAAGGGTTGATGGTTTAAAAAAAAAAAAATGAATTCATTCCCTTCATGCACATTTGTATGATGGCGGACAACTAGGTGGGGTTGTTAGGGACAGTCAACACTGCTGTTCACTTTCACTGATAGTTTCCAAAGCATCCTCACAAATCACAAAAGAAAGTATGAAATAGTTCCTTGAGGGAACTAAAAACTTGTTCTGGACTAATAACTAGGACTATCGATCTCTTCAGAGACTCCATTGTCTCCTTTAAAAAAAATTTTTTCCTAATTTAACTGAAACTTCTCCCTTTATTTTTAAAATTTCCCTGAATCCAAGAATAGCTACCAATTTTACATCTTAGCCCTTCTTCCCTAGCCCTTCCCTTCTTTAGCCTTGAAAAACTAGTTATTTCAACCTCAGCTTTACCTTGCTGTTGTTGCTTAACTAACTAGTAGCTGTGTCTGAACTCAGCCAAAAAAATACTTTTATATTGCTTCTTTTCCCCCGTGATAGTTTTCCTTTTAATATTAAATGTGGGATGTTGTTTCCAGTGAACTTTTTGGACTAAACTTTTTTCTTCGTCTAATTTTATAAGATTCCTTATTTTATCTGTGTCATCACACTCCTAAAGTATAGATTTTGCTATTTTGATTCACTTTGGAAATTAAAAAGTATAACATTGACAGTGTAAGTAAAGTAACCTCTATTCTTGATTTCATTAATATAATACATATAATTTATAACCTTAAGACAAATAAAACTTAATTTTCCAACAAAACCCACATTATCATATTCTAAACAATTACTTCCATCTTTTATTTTTCTCATTTTTATTCTCAGTATTTCCTAATTATATTTTTAACACCAGCCAAAATCTGTACTTGTTGCCCAGATTCTTCTTGAGTGTCTTCATAACCCACTTTAAAGATATTTTACATGAATATACTTATTATAATAAACCTATGAAAACTTAAATAATCAGTTTATGGTAAACAAAATGTCTCAGATTTTCAATGTTTTAATAAATTATGCAGTATATTTTCTGCATCCTAATTTTAAATTAAAAACAGTTAAAGAAAATATCTTACCCCAAAAGTTTTCTGGCCATGGACTCCCTAAACTTGTTGTGTTATTAGCCATAATATCCACAAGAAATAGAAGAGACAGAAGAAAAAAAGAAAGAAAGAAAAGCCAGTATGTCCAAAAGAAGCACTTTGATTCTATGTCTTTGTGGTTCAGCAAGAGAAAAATAATTTTCACACAACCCCTCATATACTTGTGTTTGCATGAAAGGAAACAAGTGTATCATGTTTCCTGCTTTTATACTCAAATTAGCAACTGTTTTTCTTATCTTGGAATTCCACATGGTTCCTGAGACACTAAACAATTTCCTTCTCGTCATTTCCTCAGCTAAATTGCTAAGTTTCTTCCTCTGGGCCACCTCCAAACTGCTTTTGGGGTAAGAGGCTCCTTTTCTTGTTCCTTTTCTAACTCCTACTGACATACATAGGAAGATTCCAAACTCTTAGCTGCAGCACTCTGGGCTAAATTTATGTAGGATAGAGAAAGAGACCACTTCCAACACTTGACAAGTAGATTTGTACAGTAAGTTGAGAAGGGTGGGGTGGGATGTTCTGGAAATCCATATTCTATTCAAGTACAATTAATTAATTTTACCTAATACCCATTTTTATAAAACTCGATTATTTATTAAAATTCTTAACATGCCTCTTTTTTTCCATTTGGCATGTTAATTTTGAAAAGTTATTCATGTCGTTTCTTAAATATCTATCTAAAATGCAATTTATGTTTAATTTTTTTATGTTCAATTTTTAATAAAAATTAAATATGACAAAATACTCTTTCGTTGGTATGTAAGTGTAAAAAGGGTGATTTCCACACTGAAAGAGCCTGTTTAAAACCAAGCAAAGGAAACATGAATACCAACATTGATTGCAACAGAATGTTCAGTGCTGTAGGGAGAAGTACAAAGATCACAGTAATGGTTTTCATGGAGGTGTCTGAGAAAAGTGATGACTTTTGTCCTCCATGGAAAATTACGAAAATAATTTTACCAAGGGGAGAGAAAAAAAGGTAGGACAGTCAATACGAATGAACATTGAATCAGTAAGTCAATATGAATGAATCATTGAAATTCACACAGGGAATATTGTGGGCGTGACTGTAGGAAAGAATGACATGAGACTTTTCAGAAGACGCAGATAAGTTAAAATTTCATGAGTCTTTCTTAGTTTTAGCTTTCTTAGTTTACACCAGATCCTCTGAGCACTGGGAATCCTTTGGAAGTACACGTAGCAATGGCAGGCTGTGCTTAACTGCGCTAACCTACGTTCAGATCTGATTGACTTTTCAACATTTGTTGAAAAATTTATAAAAATAGAAAATTAAAAGACCATCTTATTTCAAAAAATATGATCTCATGAAATTATATTGAAATACTTCTAAAATCTTACAAAAACAGAGCGGGATCCTTCAATTATTAGTTCTATTTTTCAGGACACATTTTATGTTAATATAGGCTGTCAGACTCAATAAATTCTAATTTTAAAAAGGCATGCACTTTTACAAAGAGTCCTATAGAGCACATTTGTCCTAAAACAACAAGCCCTGTGAGTGGAACAGAGGAGTCTGGGTTTGTCGAAACTGCCTTGTGTGCAAGAAGCAGAGCTCACTCCATTTCAGGGCCAGGAGACAGGCTGAGACTTCCTTTCATTGTTTTGTGCTTAATCACCTAGATTTTCTTCTAGAAGTTTTCACTTTTGCAGATGGTCAGAAGCCGGTCAAAACCCTGAAGAAAATTTGATCTCTAGCAATTTAAGACCTAGGCATATTTTTCTTCTCTGTTAACAGCTTGTTGGGAGCATGAGTTTTTATCTGTGTGTCTAACATGCTTGGTAAGGACTTGTACCTTGGCAGAGGTCCATATAAATGAGTGTTTACGTCTACAGGATTTTGGAGTCCCATGACTTGTAATGCCAAAACAGGAAGTTGATTTTTATCTCTACAAAAATGTTAGGTCTGCTTTTCTACTGTTCATTATTTAACAAGTTGAGTCTTTAGTTCTGGATTCTCCAGTAGTCATAAAATACATTGGAGGTTTGCTCCTGGGCCAGATAATCACAGGACTTCTATCCCCCATTCAGGTGTCTGTTCAGGTCACCTCTTCATAGGCTTTCATTAGTCACCTTGCTTTAAACGTCCCTATTCCAATGACTGTCCCCTGAGCCTGCATTATCATTTCCTTCAGAACACTTATCTCTCCCTGATATTATACTATACCTTCTTTAGCTTTTCTTTTCTTTTTGTCACCAGAAGTTGAATCCCATAGGATATTGATTTGCTCCTATCTGTTTCTCCTGTGGCTAATAGAGTGTTCTTAATAACATTTATGAACATTATTAATAAATGATAAAATAACAACAGGCTCTTAATAACAGGCTCTTAATAAATATTTATTAAATAAAGCAAAGAAATAATTCCAAGGGATCTGGAGATGAAAGTATTCTGGACATTCCAAGTCTGGTTAATAAAAAATGTCACCTACACTTAAAAGCAAAAGTTTAAAAACCTCTATTAATAGGCATTTCAATAGTTTAAAAACTCGATAGATAACTTGAGACAGTCAAATGACACAAAAGAACATTGTCACACTTAAGGGAAGATGCATATTTGACTATTAACCTCCTTTTTTAGCTTGCTCTTTTAAAATTGTCATGGGTTTTGTCTTCCCCATGTGAAATTAATCAAACAATTTAGTTAAACTGAGAGGATTCTCAGACCAGGTAAGAACTACCCACAAAAAAAAAAAAAAAAAAAAAAAAATTAAATCTATTTTTTTAAAAAATCAAGTTTTTAAAAAGTCACATGGAGGATAACTTTAAGTGTAAACATACTATCTTAACATATTTATGCCCCTTTTTTTCTTCTTGTTTACATGGCACGAAAGTTGGTCTTCTTTTTCCTTTCTCCTTAAACGCATTCTTGGGGCGCCTGGGTGGCTCAGTGGGTTAAGCCTCTGCCTTTGGCTCAGGTCATGATCTCAGGGTCCTGGGATTGAGCCCCGCATCAGGCTCTCTGCTCACCAGGGAGCCTGCTTCCTCCTTTCTCTCTGCCTGCCTCTCTGCCTACTTGTGATCTCTGTCAAATAAATAAATAAAATCTTAAAAAAAAACCACAGCGCATTCCCTTTGGGAGAGGGATGACAATACAGCAAAAGACAAAAGTAGAGGTCAGGTTATGTGTCTGAAAATCTCACTGCTGGTGTTAGGGTTTTACAAATTACAGTGTAAATAAAGATAATTTTCTGGGACTGGGATAGGTGGGTATTTTTTCCTACATAAATATGTCTTCCTGAATGTCTGAGTGAAGTTACAGTAAGTGATGGTTGGAGAGAGGGAGGAGCTGATCCAGATGAACAGTGAAAAGCGTAGCTGGAGCCACAGGGTGGGACCCAGAGTTGATGTCCAGCCTGAGGAAGCTGTCAGCCCCTGCTGGTCAATGTAATGCAAATCAGAGAAGAAAAAAGAATTGTCCTGTAAAAAGATGCCCTTACCTTGCCTTGACTCAGGGAAATGGGAGGAGAAAATAAGGCTCCTCTGAAAATTCCTAATGAAAATCCTGTGCTTACAGGTGTTAAGGCCTGAATTCATAGTATGCTAAGACATCACATTGGAAATTTAAGTTGTTTAGCTGTATTAGCAGTAACCTGCATGCCTTGAGAAGCACATTTTCTAAAGAAACACAGTTTAAACCAAAGTCTCAAAGGATGACCAGAGATAAAGTTGTAAGAAGCAAGGCTTATCATTTTAAAAAATATACATCAGTAAGTCCATCTGGAAGACAGAACCCCGTTTCCTCCAAGATATCCATACCCCAATCTCTGGTATGTCATATCACATGGCAAAAGGACTTTGCCCATGTAAGTAAGGGAGATTATCTTGGATCAATTTAGTGGGCCCAGTGTAATCACATAAGATCTTAAAAAAAGAACTTTCTCTGCTTGGAGTCAGAGAGATGTAGTAGAAGAGACACAAGAAGGACACAGCTAAGAAGTCAGAGAGACCCCAGCTGAAGCAGAATTAACATGCTTTTGCTGGCTCTGAGATATGGGGTCCATGTTCAAGGAGCAGTGGGAAGCTTCCAGGAGCCAAGGACAGCCCTCAGCTGGTTAATAGCCAGCAATGAAATGGGGATTCAGTCCTACAATTGCAAAGAACTGAATTTAGTCAAAACTTGAACAAACTTGAAGCAGATTCTCCCTTACAGCCTCAAGCATTAAGGGATCCAGTTCTGCTAATGTCTTGATTCCAGTTTTAGGAGACCTGGAACAGAGAAATCAGCTAAACTGCACTGTGGCCAGACGGCTGGCCCACAGAAATAGATTATTTCCAAAGGAACTGAATTCCTCTAAGCGATGACTTGTAATGGTAACAATGGGAACCAGGAGAAAATGGAATAGTATCTTCAAAGTGCTGAGAAAAAAAAAAATCGCCTAGGTAACTGAGTATTCAGTGAATTCTACTTTTTAAAGATAAAAGTGAAATACACTTTTGGGAAAACAAAAATTGAATGAGTTTGTTATGCTAAGTTAATTACTAAAGAATTTCGTTAAGAAAGAAGGAAAATTATTCTAGAGAGAAAATGCAGTGTAAAAGAAACCCCAATAAAGCCCTGATAAATATGCAAATAAATCCAAATGTTTATATTATGAAAATGGTAACAATAAATTCTAAGTTGTTAGAATAAAAAAAAAATCAAAACACAGCCAAAAGCCTATAGGAGAATATGGATTATAAGTGAAAGGCACAAAAGACCTAAGGCATTCAGGGGTCTTCATTCTTTGGTGAGACAATAAAGATGCTGATGATTAATTACAATCTGAAGAAAAGAATGGAACTTGCTTAACCTGAAATATATTATGCATTAAAAACACTCAACAAGGGGCACCTGGGTGGCTCAGTGGGTTAAAGTCTCTGCCTTCAGCTCAGATCATATCCCAGGGTCCTGGGATTGAGCCCCATATCGGGCTCTCTGCTTGGCAGGGAGCCTGCTTCCTCCTCTCTCTCTCTGCCTGCCTCTCTGCCTACTTGTGATTTCTGTCTGTCAAATAAATAAATAAAATCTTTAAAAAAAAATACTCAACAAATGTCATAATCACCAAAGAAATACTAAAATATTCCCTTGAAAGTTATTTTCAAATATTTCCTTTAGAAACAAGACAAATATGACCACTATCACTATTTCTATTCAACATCAGAACAAACTATC